GGGGAAGAGTGCTGTCCAAAACAAGCCATGACCTGTGCACAAAGGTATTACCAATTGCTGGAATCTTTCTTTGCTTTCTTTTTTTTTTAAGAGAGAAAGAGAAAAGGTGCTCCATGATTGGTTCTTCTACAGAAAAACAAAAATACTAATTTCATAATTAACAGAGAGAAATTTGTTTTCCCCTTCAGTGCAAGTTAAAACCCCCTTTATTTTACATTTGAGGAAGGTTGAGGAGAGCGAGGGCAATTATTTTTTGTTAGGTGTTGGTTGTTAYTGTCTTTTCCCTTGAAGAACAGGAACATCTGGGGAGAGAATACAGCTCAGCTACTCCCGTGTTACTTTCGTGTTACTGATTTCCTTGAATAAAGGAGATTTTCCGATATAATGCTTATCATATGGAAAGGCAAATCTTAGTCCTAAAGCGACCATGACAGTTTACCTCCTTCATCTTCCTCATTTCTATAAAAGAGACTGACTGTGGTGAAGCAGGTTCAGGACCTGTTGAATGAAATGAAACATAATGTTCCACAAAAATGAGGTGTCCTATTTTTGTATAAACAAGGATTAAATGTTGTTTCTACCTACAAGGTAACTGCATTACTCCCTATCTCTTTTATAGATTGGTTACCACCCATTACTTAATTAAGCTGAAAACACCAGCATGTCTTTATCATTAGTCAGCATGTGAGCAATCATTAGGTGTCACCAATCCAGCTCATTGTGTGGATTGACTAMTCTTCGCTCCAGGGATAGGACAAAATTCTTATTGGAGTGACATGGCTATCCCCAAGTCTATGGGAAGTGCTATGAGCTCCTGACGAGCACACTRCCATCCTGTGTACAGAACATTAAACACAGTAGATTCAATTTGCCTTGCATTGCTGTTATACACCACAGACCAGCAAAACTAGAGTCACAGTCCATCAGCATCTTTGTGTCCCTTGGAAATATCCTGCTTCTTTGCAATACACTTTCCATGGAAAGTTTTCTGTATGATATGTAAACATTTCTCTTTACTGGCACTTTAATTCTTTCTTCTGTGATAAATGTCCAGTTATAATGGGGTGCTCTGATAAAACTGCCCACTGTAGTATACATTTTGTTTATTTCTCTTTCTTTTCTTTTTCAAGGGTGTGGTTTTATGTGTGTTTATGTGTTTTTCATTTTTTTTTTTAAATTCCACTCTGAAAACAATTTTGGTTCCTTCAGAGGAGTCACAGTCATTTTTGTTTGGTGTTTCAAGGTCCATATTTCTCCCAGCATTTTCCATCTAGGAAGCCAGGATATGAGAGCCTTCCTCTCTTTAATTTTATCAAATCTTTCAGACTAGCTCACCAGTGCCAGTGCAGACAGAATGAAAGAACCAGAGCATGAGCTTCATGACTGCTACTTATCTAACAAAACTTCTTTTCCCTATTTTCTTGAAGAACAACAAAACCAGCTTAGTATGAACATTTGGTTCGTGTAAGCTTCTCTTTGGATGAAARGAGAGGAAAAGGGCAAACAAACCACATCAGAAAGACTTGAGGGTGAAAAAGGCATTGGAAACATGGACTTTCTGCTAGGAGAGTCCCCAGGTGACGGGCAGCCAAGGCTTACAGAGCTATTTCTGAGCTGTTACTGAGAAATGTAGGCAGCTTGCTGAGTCAGTGCTCATTCAGTGTCCTTCAAAAATGAATTAAAAGTAGTGAAGAATATTCTCTACTTCCTCAGGGTGATTTTTTTCTTTCCTGAGACTGTTTTGAGCAACTTTGGCTGGAGGAAATGGAGACAACTGACATTATCATATAAAAGCAAGACCACTTCCTCCAGGACAAAATGCTGCAGGTATATGGGTCAAAACAGCAGCTGGAGATGTTTGGAAATGTGAATTTTTAAGAGCAAGACTTGGAATAATCGGAAACAGTTTGTACCAGACCGCCTGGAAGCAAGCTCTGGTTGTTTACCAATAAGGATAAAGTATCCCTGCCTAGCATTTCTCGCWAGAGGAATTTTACACAGCTTGCTTTAATCTTGACTGAGATAACAAATCGCAGATATGCAGTTCTCCGGAGACTTTGTTCGGCTGATTTTCCAAATATGTTCCGTACTTTTTAATATTGTTGTAAATTCATGTTAATTACCCAGTAACCTTAGATGTATTGGGTAAAGTCCGTTGTCACAGCAGTTGTTGCTGTGCTACATGATCTGTTTTGCATTTAGCTTTTGGGTATGGTAATATGACAAAATAACATACTCACTGTGGGCGAAAACGGACGACCCACCAAGCCTCTTTCTTCCTAATATGGTGAAATCAAAAGCCACAGTCTGAGTAAGCTGAAGTGCTGATGGATTCAAAGCCCAAGGATCAGTCCGGCGGTGCTTGGAGAGCACAAGGGTCATGGTCGAGATTTGCACTGGGAGGGCAGGAAATGTTTAAATTCCCTGACCATGACTAAATGGTCAGAGCCAGCTATGCTATCAGGGAAAAATCCCTCTTCTCCTCCAGAATGGCAAGAACATTTGTTCTTGTGACTGCTGCAATGGGAATCATGAGTTGTGTTGTATATGGGATGCAAGAGCTTATTTTTAGCCCAGGTTTATAATAAGTAGCAATCTAATTACGGGGCGGGTGGGCAGTTCAGTGTGGGCATGGGGGTGTCGGGCAGAGCCCCAGGCTAAAGAGGCTAAAGCCAGGGAAGAGATGGGTGGTGGGTTGGAAAGAGAGAGCTCCCATCTCACTCCCTGCACCAGAACTTACATGTTTCCCTCAGGCTTGTACAGATCCTGGTGGAAAGGGGCCCCAAATGCTGCTGGATTGCCAGGAAGTTTTGCCGTTTTCCTTATTTATGTTCACTATCACCTTTTAAACAAAAGAGCACAGTTTTTCATAGCTGTGAGTGACTGCCTGGCAAGAGCTGTTTCCCCATTTACTACCAGGCATGGGAGCTTTGCTGGCTGGCTCTGAGGTGTCCTGTTTCAGTAGCTAAAACTTCAGCCAAGGGCCCCTCAGTACAATATTATCTTATGATATTTAAAGGTTGGGAGACATGCATTTCCTTGCTGAGGCTGATGCAGTGCAGAGAAGGGTGAATCTAGAAAGAAATAGAGGCCATGATGATTTCCAGATGCATTATTCAACCAACTGAGATATTTTCAGGTATCTCAGCCATCTCAGAGCTTATGAGTAGAGGGCAACTGCAAGAGTCTCATCTCAGCACTGAGAAAGATACATGGAAAGCACTCAAATAGCTTTAAACACATTTGTGTCTTGCATTTGTTCACTGTGGTTTGTCCTAATTAAAAGAATAACAGTTTTAGTGCTTTGTTTGAAAGCAAACTCTCGTCATTTTTGAGAAAAAAAATAAAAAAAAAAAAAGAAGATAGAAACATTTAAAATAGCATTTCTCATTTTCTCTTTGTTTATTTGTCTCCATAGTGTAGTGGTCCATTTCTTTCTGCTGAAACATTTTCATCCATCTGAAAGTCGTGATTCTCAGCATCTGACTACTAACAAATGAGCAAGTGCATTGTCTATATTACATGCCCCTGGGTTTGAAGAGGCAAAGGGCAGAGGAGCTCAGCCTTGCTTTCTTTAAAGCACTGATAATGTCCACAGCTGGAATTTGTTGTGCTCCATTGTTTCCACCCCAGCTCCCTAACCTTGAGCTCCACGCTAATTGCGAGCTAATTGCCTTAGACCACCCAAATGATGGGGAAAAAAAACCTCTCCAATAATTGCAGGGAAGCAGCCAGCCCTGGGGTAAGAAGTGCAAAGGCAGCTTCAGCAGTGCAAAAGAGAAAAAGTACATCCATTCTGCTTTATTAAATAGTATATTGTTTATACATTCATTCTGAAAGCTTTGACAAGAAGGGAAATGCTGAAAGGAAGTGTTTTTTTTTTTTTTTTTTGGATGGAGTAAAAGTGATGTCTGTGGTTTTAAACAAAGGGCTGTTGGCAGGATGATGCCATAAAGAAAAGGAAGAGAAAGGGAAACTGCATTTGAATTAATTCAGATAAGTTAAGGCCAGAAGACCGTATGACAGAATTTTCCATTGCTTCTTGTAGTCTAGCTCACTGCCATAATTACGTTACCTCCTGACTTTTTTGTACAAATATTGTTGTGGTTATTACTGTTTACTGTAATTACACTTACAAAAGTTGTTTATGGCATTACTGTCACATAATAACGTGGAAGAACAAAGCTAGACAAGACCTTTGTGGTGGGTATTTCACAAAATTTTGTATAAATGTCTCCAGTTGGAARAATTTTCAGTGGGAATAGTCAAGGAAAAAGAATGATGACCTSACTCCTTGTTTTGCTAAAAATATTTTAAAAGTATTAAGGGGAGATATCATTGTGCTGAATCATACTTTAATTTTGATTTTTAGTAAATCTTATATATATTTTTAATATTGTGTTTGGCCTAAAGTACTGTATTTTATTTCAAAGAAAATTTTTTGTTAAGCTTTAGTGTAACTTAAGAAAAAAAAAAGAATATAAGGTTCTGCTGAATTAAAGTATTCCAGGTTTTTCTTTCTTTCTTTATAATACACACAATCAGTGAAGTTAAGATGAATTTGTAAAATATTTCAGTGTTCTCAAAGCTGAATTATTTTCTCATAGACATTTTTGCTGAAACATTACAGCCAGTAAGGAAAACATGAGAAGAGACAGAAAGAGAAATGGAGACACAAAGAAAATGCAATATCTTCTCAATGCCTCATTCTACCACTAGCAACGCTAGCAATAGAAATTGCATCTCCTGAGTTTCCTGCTAGAGTATAGACCATTAAAGATCCATAAAGAGATAAATTATTAAATGCAAAATCAATGTACAACCATAACTGCTATGAGCAGAGATAATTATGAGCAACAAAATTACGTACTCTCCTTCCAGCATCTTCTTCCTGTCTCTCTGGTACAGTTTTACTTGAAGCCCCATTTGCATGGTTTGCATGCATGATACGAGCTGGCACACGGGAAAAAATAACATATTTTTATTTTCCACTATTTCAGAAAATCTCTGTCTCGCTGTCGAAGGATTAACAGGATGCTTTCCAACGAGCCTACACCTCCTCCTTCGTTCAGTCGTTCCAACTCACAGGTGTCCATGGACAGTACCTCCATGGAGGACTTCTGGTGTGAAGTGGAGAGCATTAAGGAGAGCAGTGAAGATAGGCCTGAAGAATCAACACTCTTGGAGTTCAAGCCTGCTGATGGTAAGCACATGAATATGGCTTTTTTAGACACGTTTTGGTTTTTCCTTGTCTCTTTAGTGATGCCCTGATCGTCTTTCTCCCATCACCAAGCATGAATATGATTCAAATATTGAGCCAGAGGTGCAGTGTTTTTTAAACCTCACTTAATATCATTTGGGGAGTATGCTTAAGTCCATATTGATATAATACTCTTTTAAATCACAGAAGTGCAAGGCTGGGCCTATGGTCTTTGTCACTCCACTTCTAAGTGTTACAGTTGATGTTATCGGGGGTTACTGGAAAAAAAAATACAAGAATTTAGGTGACTTTATGCTCTGGGATTAACAACATGATTTCTGAAGTAGGATTTTCTGCACTGCTTTTATTTGTGCTTCAGGAGGACAGATAATGTGTAATTCAGAAAAGAGAGGAACTAAAGGAAAACTTCGTCCTCAGCATTAAATAAACCAAGCYGACTGAGATAAATGTAAGGGACCAAAAAGTTCAAATACTTTACTGGAATTTTCCACTTCATTGCTTTTCTAGGATATAAAGCACAAGTCATGAAAGTCTTGAAGCCRTTTTTAGATAGATCTTTCAGTCCTATCACAAATTTGATAACTGCTTGTTTATCTGAGATTGCCCAACTTAGGTGTAGTTCAAGGAGAGACAGAATCTGAATTTATGGATGTCTACATCATACAGCTTCCTCATTCTTCAAAACCATTTATTGAATGCACAAGTTATTATGAACATACTACTATTTCACTATGCTACTTTAATATTTTCCTCTTTTCTTTTTATTATRATGTATTTGGAAAAAAACTTGTAATAATCAGCACTGGTTTGTTGCTCTGCAGCTTTGTGTTGGATGATTTGATAACATCTAGGACAGCAGTCTTCAAGACTTTTTCCAGTTGTGATCCCACTTAACGACTTATTATATTGTGCAATGCAAAATACCAAGTCTCACTATGCAATGAAACAGAATTTCTCTTGGGGTCATGACCCACCAATAACTGCTGCAGTCCTAGTCTAGGTCATGACCACTAGTCTAGGAACAACTGATCCAGGGATAGATTTTGAAAAAGTGGTATATTCTTTCCGTGCAATTATTAACATGAGCAATGATGCACTTACCTCTGAGTGCAATGAGATGTCTTTAATTCTGCTACCAAGAAAACAGGGTGAAAAAGGAGAAAGGTTACTATATTTAGCAACTAAATAGGTAATCAGTCACGATAAGTGTCCCATACCTGGCTCCAAACATATTCCGGCTTCATGGGGAATACTGCTCACTAGTTCTAGATAGGGACTCTGTTGTGAGCGAATGGAGGTGACCTTTAATTCTCTGCATGAACTGGGATGTCCCTGGCTTGTCGCCATGGCCAGTGGGATGCCACAGATCTATGAGCCAGGAAAGTTACCAGATCAAGGCAGTACTGGGGCAAATTTTCATATCTGCAGAGGCCTCTCAGCCACACTCATCCCTTTTGAGCTAAATCTTCACAACTGTGCAAACCACGCTGTAGTCCCAGGTTATTCTTCATCTGATTGCACCTCAATACATAACATTGATTTTTTTCCTTTCTGACTTGAATTAAAAATGAGACTGCAAGGTAAAATACAAAATATTTCCACACTTCATTTACCACTGTATCATTGTTTTTGAATACATATATACACATATAAACACATGCAACCTGGGAGTGCTTGTTCTAGTTATTAACTTTAGGAATCTATACAGTCTGGGATTATAAATCTTGGAAATAACAATGAGTTCTGTCAAGATACTAATAGGCTAATAGTCCTTGCCAAAACACCGAAAATCAATGTGGAAATCCTCGGGGTAAAATAAATATATATATATATTCATCATCCTTTTGAGATGTCTTTGAGAGGAAGAGATGCAGAATGTTTAAGGAAACGAGGGGGTGATAACAACTAGACACCAGTGATTTTGTCAAAACCACAATACTGCTTTTTGCAAGGTCATGTGTGTAAGAGGAAGCCCTCAGGATACTTACACTGATGATGTCAATAAGAAAGAATTAAAGATCATACTGGGTGACATGAGGGATGACAAAGTAGGGGAAGAGGACGTAAATCGGTGTTTAAAGGTGACAGTGACATATAGAGAGCTGCCTTTAACACTCAGTGTTTCAAGAGGCAGTATGAGTTGTCTGGGGTTATTATCTGAAAGGCACATCTTTCTAACACTCTTAAAGAGGAAAAAAAAAAACAAAAAAAAAAAAGAATTACCACTTAGTGGGAATCTGTTTGCTTGGCAGATTTGAGCTTAGGGTCTAGGTCCAGTTATATAGCTACTGCTATAAAAATAATATTTAATGAAACATGCTTTTATTAGCCCTCACTTAAACCTATGCATTATATAATTCTGAGGCGTTTTATACAGAAATTCTTTTTCTGCAATAGTTTTACTCTTTTGGTTGTCGTCATTTCTTAGCTTATTGTTTGAGSGTGGTTGGAACAGGAAAAAGGAAAATGCCAGAGAAAGCAAGTCACAGAGGTGACTGGTAAGCAGGCAGAATTTTGTGAGTTTTACTTTTTTTTTCATAGCAGCATGAAAGTCCAGTCTGATTTAAAACTAAATTCTTGGAAAGAATATTTCAGGACAAGAGCCAAAATGAGTTTAACTAAGAAGCAGGTACATGAATGGTTGTTGCTGGAACAGCAGCACACAGAGATGAAACAGCTTGTTGGAACAAAGAGCAAGGACAGCAGAAGGACCTCTGCTAGCTCAAAACCTAGAAAGGAGGAAAAGCAACAGTCTGTCAGCCTATATGTAGAAGGAAATGGAGTGGGAGCAAGCTGTTTTACAGGATATAGAGCTGGATGCACCACTGTCTTAGAGCAGGGTTCTTGGAAGGAGATGTTCTTACAGAGCTTTGCCAAGAGACAAGCCAGTTAATAGGAGGAATGGAGGGGGCATTTGTGTAAATGTCACTTGCCTCTTCTGACCAGTCCTATAATTTTATTTATTTTTTTTGTCTATGTAACTGCCAACACACAGTAAAATGGTATCTATCAATTTGTCTGCATTCTGGTTACCTCACAGAGAGGCAATAAAGAAAGAGAGGGAATGCAAGGCTGTTATTAAGAGCATTGTAAGGAGTTGTTTTAAGGATCATTCTGCAAATTAATCCATTATCTTTTTAACATGTTTGTTTATAATACCTGCTCCTCAGTCAAAGTTGGAACACAGTTATTGTTCTCATTGCGTTGTCACAAAAGCACATTATTGTCACTCAAAGGTACAGTTAAAATAAAGGCCCACAAAATTCTCATGTGAAGACAGATTTTTAAAATTCTTGGTCATTTGCTTTAGAAAATAAATAAAAAGGCAGTAACAGCRAAAATTAAGATTAGTGAATGATTCAGACAAAGATTGGGAACCTCTCCCTATCCTACAGTGACATGTGATATTCATGTTATTTAATATGGGCCTGAAAAAGGAAATGCTTTTTCATGTGGTGCAGAACTGCATTACTGTAGAACTAACTGCAGTGATGATCCAACGGAGAGTCAAGTATCAGATAGGATTCAAGTAGGTCACTACTAATCTGAATATCAAGTGACCCTGGGATGTATATTGTTTCATCTATTAGATATCAGCATGATACCTCGCAAGCAAGGACAGCTATTTATTCAGCTTTCACCCCTACCTAAAAATACCTACCCCTGCCTAACCCTTACTCTTTAGTGAGTAGCTCGGGGTCTTAATCACCTTGGCCAAAACTGGCTGTTAGACTGGATGGGTGTCAAGTTTCCCTCAAAATGAAATCTTTATAAAGTACCTGGTTTCTAGCTGAATCCCCAGTTTTGGGTTTGGGKTTTTTTTAAGTATTTTAAATCCTCTCGTCCTTAATAATCTCATCCCAATTTTATTGTATACAGTACTGCAATATTTTTTCCTAATTTAACTCAAGCACCTGCTAAACTACCACCTGCCAAAAGGCTTCAACCTGCATACTATGATAACCAAAGGGATTTCCTTTATGTTCTTGAATAAGGGGCTAGTGTTCAGCATTCTTGCTGTGTCAGGATAGAACCTATACAGCCTTTCTCACTCAGGTGTGTTAATGCACAGGTTAAAATACTTCTCCTCAGCCTCTCCCGTGCAGAGACCATCAAACTGGAAGGTGACAGTCTCGACAAAACTGAATTAACTTACCCCTGTGGCCTGTAACAGACTGGAAGTGGGAAGCTGTGGAGGTGAAGGCTGGTGCACCAAACCRCCTCCCTGCCTCGCACCGCTAACGCGCGCTCTTCCCCCGTGTCCGCAGAAGGGGAGCTGGAGGCTGAGTGGCTGCAAGACGCAGGTCTGTCCACGTTGATCTCGGGAGCCCAAGAGGAGGACGGCCAAGCCCTGCTGTCCACCCTGACGCGGACGCAAGCCGCCGCAGTGCAGAAGAGGTACAACACCTACACGCAGACGCTGAGGAAGAAGAACAAGCACAGCGTCCGCGATGTGCGCGACATCTTCGGCGTCAGCGACTCCGCGGTAAGGAACAGCCTTTTTTGCTGTCGACGTGCAGACAGTTATAGCAGTTTCTGGCACTAAGTTTAGATGTTTAATGATGTGTTTGCTGCATTTTGAGAGGAAATGAAGAAACAGACTGATGTAGATGGTGCAGTTTTGCAACTAACCTGTAACGTAATGTTGTATCTATTGCCAGCCTTCCTCCTGCAATCTCCTATCAAGACTAACATTTACTCCCTTATTTTTTGGAAATTGGTGAGTTACTCTTGGCAGTTATTCAGATTTTTGCTGGCTTCTGGGAACACTTGCTATTTACTCAGCAGTCTCAGCAGTGAAGTAAAACTTATCTAATGAAGCAACTGGGGTTCAGATATACATAAGCAATTAAACACCTGCCGGCATGATTGCAACTAGTACACTGGCAGCTACGTTTCACTTGTACAGCAAACAAAAATCCATTAACTGTTCATTTGTTTCATGGCTTTAGAATGAGCATTGCCTCTAGTGGCTTCATCCACTTTTCCCAAAGGAGAACTCTAAACACACCAATCTTATCCTTACACAATTTGTTTGGGGGAACGCAGTCAACTACATGAATTTATTCCAATGCTCAAAGCAGCACACATGATTTTAAATGTGTGATTCAAGTTATTCTATGTAGGAGACACAGAAAAGCTCACAAGCTCATCTTTGAAAAGAATAGTATCACTGCAACCCCCCAAGAAAATTTTTCTTTCTATAAATTTGTTTTATCCCTTTCTATTTGCCTTTCCTTCATCCCAAAGCCTGGCATTTCAGCTAAGGTGGAAAACAAAAGCAGAGATGTATTATCATCTTAAAATTCCAAAAATATATTGGTTTGGGCTTAATTTATTGATCTTCAACGTAAGCATCTAGATTGTTTTGAACTTCAAGCTCRTAACACACAGATACACCCAGAAGTGCACAGCAGTTTCCTATGGACAGACTTTCTTGCATGAAAACTCCTAAGGCATGTTTGCATGAACACTGAAAGTTTATGGCACTTTTTGTAAGATCATCACATTTGTTCTGTATCACATACTTGCAAACGTCAATACATTTATAATTTGCAATAGAATTTAAGTTTTCTAAATAGATTAGAGCCTGCCAAATGGATGTTGTGTGCATTCTCTTAAATGCACACGTTATTGATTTTTCTTGACCTGCTTATTTTTCTCTTCTGTTTCTTGCTTGACAAAGCAACTGAAGCTCCAGAGCTGTTGTCCTTCAAATCAGCCTTTTACCTGCTCTGAAATCCAGCTCGCTTAGTTGTTCTGTACTGTGAAAGTCTGAAAGATCAGATTAGAAAGTGATTCTTTAAGACCTCTCTCTCCTGCTTCCCACAAAAATATGCAGTTCTACAGGGCACCATTCTCAAAACCTGCACACAAACACATCTGCAGAGCACAGGCTTGCTTCCCTCAGATGGGCTAAGAAGGAGATTTTACTTCTAAAGGGCTGCTAGGCTCCCTGTGCCCTTTGGGCCGCTCTSTCTGCTACTCATTGTGGGATTTAGAAGGTCCATCTCAACCACTACCTCCTTCCTCTGCCACTGCAACAACTGCTGCATCACTGCTGCAGCAGAGCTGCATCTCAGCATTTGAAGCTGAAATGTGCATTTCCCAAGCAGTTCTTTGTAAGGCAAAATTAGACTAAGCTGCYCCCGTCTCTGTACTGTTTTCTTGGTGGGAGCACTACAGCTGTTGSGGAGTCTTCAGGATGAATCATTTTGGGAAAGTTATATAGATTAAAAACAACTCAGCCAAAAGCTGAGAGCAACGGGGGACAGGGAGGGGAAAACTTTTCAGCACAGCTGCTGGAGAAAAAAGGTGGTGAAAAAGACATCTTGAAACAGTATGCAGGAGATTTTTGTTCTTCCATCCTGCTTTTTGAGAMGTTAACGTGCTGTAAATAGCAAAATAGCCCTAATTACTTTGCATAACTGTTTCTATAATCCTCTGTATCTTCTTCCCATCCRTTTAAGCATTTCAGCAGCCTGGGGTGGGTCACAGGATGGATTACTCCCTTCTATGGTTAATGATGAGGGAAAAGGTGATTAGCTCACTAGGGTCGCCTGAGATGAGATTTATAGGAATACAGTGGTGACCTCTGAAGCTGCATAAGTAGTTGTCATCTAGAGGGGAAAAAAAAAAGAAAAAGAAAAAGGAGAGAGAGAGAGAAAAAAAAGATATTTTTCCCTAGTTTCTTCTGTCTGCTTTCTCTTATCTTTTCCAATTTTTTTCCTTTCCTTCCTTGCTGCCCTAGGGCACTGCCACAGGCAGGCACCAGGACCTGGAGCAGGGGCAGCCCAGGGTGAAGATGSCCCCCCAGTTCCTGCTGCCCTGAGCCCAAGGCAGCACTGCAGCCTGCAGGGCACCAAGCTAAGCTCGGTTTATTAATCACAGCGTTCTGATTTCCCCAAGTGCTGGTCCCCCGCCGTTTCCCATGGAGGTTATCGGCTCTGCTAGTGCTCAAAGCCTAGAAAAATCAACAGCAGAATACAAATAGGGGGGGATTTTTTTATTGTTGCTATTATTTTTACTGGGAGAGGCAATGAAGCACCGCGCTCATTAACAGCTCTGCGTGTTGTTACCAGCTAAAACTCTGGAGTTTTTGCAAGCATAATTCTTGGGCAATGCATGACAAAATCATGTCCTAATTAAAGAACAACAACTAACTAGCCCAGAGCTGTTTGCACGATAAAGCATTTGTGATGAGAGAGCCTGAAAATATGACTATATCCAAAGCACTGGCAATTTGTATCCTGAACAGATCCGTAAAGCTACCCTCTTTTGCCTGTATTTCCCTTAGTTGTAGGAATGACAATAGAATTTTTCGTTCTACTGCTCTACTGATTTGTTTTTACATTTTATACAACAAAGGAGCTAGTAAAGATCTGACTTTCCATCTCATCTCTTTCTTTTTTTTTTCTTGCTGTTCTGGCTTCCTCTTCCCATTGGAAATTCCTGTGTACATTGTGCTAGTAAACACTGGAGTCATTTTTAGCATCAGATAATGAGAAGTGCCTAATGAATCACTTGCAGACAGAACTCAGGATATGTGAAGTCTTGTCTTCACTGGAGACCTAGCCAATTCAATAAAACTGTCCCCATTTGGGGAAGGGCAGAATTTGACTTTTGGCCTTTCACATTCATCAAGATAGAAGCATCTCATTTTTCTAAAATCTTTGTTTTTCACTAAAGAAGCAATACAGATCTCTGAAAAGAATGCATTGAAAAGCATATTTGGTGGAAGCATCTTCTGCTTGGAAGACGCTTCCACCAAATAATTGGAAGACTTGGCTTCTTTGTTACTCTCCCCATGGTGAAAGAAGGCAAAAATCTAGTGTTTTCCAGTCATTCCTTGTTCAGTAAGTGCACAGTTCATCATATTCATCTGCAACAAGCTAGAGCAGCCTCCAGGCTCCTCCACACTGCTGGGTGAGAGCTAGAGCTTTGCTCTTAGTTCACCTTTCCCAGCCGCAGAGCGCTTAGCTAAAACTGCTTACTACTGCTTTTTTGCTATTGATTTCACCTGTGTATTGAGACTGAAAGTTTTTTTTTTTTTTAATATACTTTAGATTCACTGTAAGCCTATTTTGAATACTATTTTCAAGGTCATGTACTTTGGGCAGTGAAAGTAGATGAGCCAGTTGCAGTTGCTGATGTCTGTCATTAGTTTCTCCATCTGGATCTTAAACTGTGGAATAATWACTTTTATGTTTGATCTGCCTGAAATGCAGAGGCAAGTTTAACTGTCCTTTCCACTTCTTTACTCCTACCTGACGTTCACATTGCTTTGTCTGATGTTGTAAAACCATTTGTGTAAATGTTATGGGGTTTTATCGTAAAAGTTCTCCTTAAAAAAAAAACAAAAAACAGTCCTTACATTCTGCCGCAAAGGAAGTCCATGTGACTCAAATCCTGTTTGCTATCAAGTTTGTAGGCTGTTGAATAGACTCTCTCAGGAGAGATTTTATTCATGTTAGATTTGACTTTGTTACCCAAATAGCTTGAAGGATAAGATTGAATAAAACGACTGCCACTTTAATTTGGGCTTCCAATTGGAAGGACTGCCCCTCTTAAATATCTGACTTTTTTGTCAGCCTGGAAGCTGCTCCTGTGCACTGACTACAAATGGGGAAGACAAAATGTTGTGCCCTGAGGCATCCCTGCTTGTTGATAAGCAGCCGATTTAGCAGTTTAAAGAGCAATTTAAAGAGCAGCTTGGCTGGGTTCATCRGGGCTCTCGCTGCACATTTGGTAGAAAAATGAAGGCTGCTCTTTAGGAGGTGGCAGCATCTGATAGCAAGGTCAGGTGTGAAACAGCAGGGCTTGAGAAACAGAGGGGCTCCAAAGGCACCCAGTGGGATGCAAAGAAGAGCAGACTGAAAAATATAAGGCTAGTTTGRGGCAGCTTAGCCATTTTTGCCCCTCAGAGCTTCTTTATATCCTGCCATTTTTTCAGGCAAGAAAATAATGCCCATGAGCTCCTACCCTCCCTCCACACACACAGACTGATTTGTCTTTATCCCGGAACTGCTGAGCACAAAGCACAGCAGCCAAGAAACGGAGACACYTCTTGAAAGTCACCCCGTGGGCTCCAGAGCCCCCTCTCTGCTGTGCCGCATGTTCTAGCCTCATTTTTAAACAGTGCAGAATGATTTCTGGAGCAGGAACAAAAGAAACTGAATACAGAAAAGGTGGGGTTTTTTTTTTTCACCAATATGTTCTTGCAGTCCTCTGACAGAGTGCGAGTACATAACCCATTGGAGGACACCAATTCATTAGCAATTTGTTGGTGACCAAGTCCTGAACGATGGAGAACAGTCCAGTCTGGCACGTGCTTGGATGCTCAACGGGTGTCAGAGATAGCTCAAGCAGAATTGTGGCCAAAGTGATTAAAASTGGGATGGATTACAATTTGACAAGAACCTTTCACTTAGTACAATTACGTACAGCAATTTACTTAGCTAATTTCAGTCATTATATAGGGCAGGGCTCATTAGCTACAGAGAGCTGTAATAACACTGACCTCAACGTGATCCATATCTGTGCAGCCTGAGAAAGATTAATTCCCAGACTGGGCTATGAAAAACGGACTCTGGCAAATCACTACAGGTTGTTTAAACGTCGCAAAACAATGTAAGCTGAGAATGATTCACTGTTGCTTGAACTGTGGCAGTTTCTGTCCATAGACTTTTACTTTCACTGCAGTCTGATCATTTTTCCTTGCCCATCAGCCCACATTTGAGACAGTTCCAGTGTCACCAGTTCCTTCTAATGGTATCCAGCTTCCTGGGCAGAAGCCAGTTTGGAAATCAGTTAGCTGTGAGTATGCCAACGTGTAACCAGTGTTCACTTCCTCCTAGAAATGATAGACAGAAAGATCTGTCTGTGCTTGTGAGGCCAGTTCCCTGCCGTGCACCGGAGACATGCTGAATATATTTTTTCTTAAGATTATTATCAGCTTATTGTCATGTAAGAACCAAAGTTTTCTGTTCAAGGCTGGTGTTATGCAGACACAGACTCCTGCCCTTGAGGCTGAGGAGTCTAAAAGGTATTGATTGTTTCAATACCAGGAATGTAAAAATAACCTCTAAACAAATTGACAAAGAATTTGCCCATAATATGTCAGCAACATATTTTCTTGTTGCAAATCATAATAAGAAAGATGCCTATTTCCTTCATATTTCTTCTCTAGTACTGCAGAAATTGTAATGTTAGAAATTCACCATTTTTCCGGTTCTCCTGTATTATTCTGGTCTGGACACTACCCTGGTGGTGATTGGCAGTGCTAATGAAAATGATGGCTCTGCTCTACATAGCATCCAAAGAACTGTCAGCAACCTTCCAGGTGAATGTCCTTCTCTTAGCTTGAAAGCTCATCCCATTGCTATTTTTCAGGGCTTATATAAAACGGTATCAATCCTCATTTTCCTAAATTACTCCCTTATACTTTTAAGTCTGGATATAGTGCCAAACACATTTTCCTTGGTTGCAGAAGCCCTGTGCTGGTCTTACTTCTGCTCTATGAGCAGTTGCTTTAGAACAGATGGGGACCAAATTGCCAGGGACACAGGGGRGGATCTGTGATGCAAGATCTGAGAAGGAGAGATAAAAAAACACCTTTGAATGGGTTRGCCCTTTTAATATGTAATGCTGGCCTGCAACCTAAGGCCACAGTTCAGAAGGCAAGTTGTTGGGGCCTAAAGGCATAACATTATTTTGTAAATTATTTAATAATACACTTTGTAAAATAATACAGTTTTAATTTGTGCCAAAACAAAGTGTTCTTCAAAAAATATTTAAGTCTCTGTATATGCAAACAAAAGATTCAAAAATCATGGGACATGCGCATGTCCATAAAACATGTAATACTGTTTAATTCACCTTCTGATTTCCTTTGGCTTTTGAATGGCTTTAGGTCATGTTTGTTAAACTCTGCAGTCCTGGGAGGTGAAACTTTACTTCACTTTCAGTGAAAGCTATGATTATCTTCCAATTGCATGAGTCAAGGAGCTGGATCTTGAGGGAAAACCTAAAAGTGTCATGAGCTGTGGGACATAAGTCATGAAAGTTGGCAACACTGGAACTCATGCATGTTATTACTCTTTGGACTCCATGACAATAGAGTGTTTCTGTGCTTRATATTTGATTTCAAAAATTTTCCTCTGGCATCCATTAATTTCAGGAGGCAACTATATTTTAAAGTACAGCAATAAAGTATTTCAAAATCTCTATCAGAAATTCCAGTAGAGATAGTGTTTTACAAACTGGAAGACTATATAATGAATCCTATTTTGGTGATATACACCTAGAGTAGCAACTGTGGGAAATGTGAGTCCTTATGTATGGGAGTATATATAAACATACACACAATGTCTTATGAGTGTAAATAAGTCAACTTATTGAGAAACTATGTCAACTGTATTTTCTGTCAGGAACTCTTAATTTAATTGTTCATTACACACRTGCCAACACACTTGCCTGGCCTGAGTAGACAAGGGCAGAGTACAAAAACTTGATAGTTCCTGATAAACAGGAAGTTCCAGCTTGACTATCTTTCTCACGAAAAAGCAACCAGTAAAATAATCAAAAATTGAAAATAGGGATTTTATTTCTAAGGGGTAATTTCCTCCAGACAAAACAGGAACATGCTGTGTTTTACACTGAAATTCCTCTTTGAAGGACTTCCTTTATTACTTTCTCAAGATTTTTGTCATCTCAGTCAAAATTTTAATGTCTCTGTATCAAATGCAAACATACATTTGATGTTCATATGCAGTTTCCGTTGTTTTCAGCTAATAGCTGTCTAGATTGTGGACTAGATAAAGGCAGCCCATTGGTAATGGAAGAGCTCTCCTATGAGGTTTCTTTCTCAGAATCCATTACAGTCGTTCCAAAAGCCCGTGAATGGCAGAAAAATCAGAGATTCAAAAAGGACGACTCTGCTTTGCCTGTAAGTATTCTTTGGATATTTTCTCAATTATTTTCTTCAACCCGTTCATGTCCTGCTTTAGATCACACTGAAGGCTGTTAAGACATACTAGATGTCCTTAATTATGGGCACTTCCTGCTGCGGGTGCCTACCTCATGTGTTTCTGACTCCCAGAGGGGCTCCAAAGAAAATAAAATTTCCATCATAGTCTTATTTTATATCCATCACAAGCTGGTCTATGTAACTYAATCCAGAAAAGAAAAATGGCATCATCTGCACATTTTTCACCTAGAAATAATGGCCAGTTACTGGTACTGAGAGTAGGAGTCATTTTCATTGCTTGATTATYGCCTGTGAAATTTATGAAACGATTGTTAACTATTTGAAAGGATTTCCTGAATGTTGTGGTGTCCAGTACCGATATAAAATTGTTCCTATCCACTGAATTCATTCAGAATTACCCATTCGTCCATCTCAGGCACCAGCACTTGAGATTTAGAAGTAAGCTATCCTGTTGAAAGGAGAAATAGATACCAAACAAATTAGAACTGATGTGAAATCCTTGTGCTTTAGCGTGTCTGGCTGATCTCTGATGGGGAAAACTTCAGTGCCCAGAGAGCAACTATATCACTGCATTCATCAAGATAAAATGCCAAACAATGCCAGGCATAGTCTTTATCCAAATGCTAGTAATTTCATTTCAGAATACCACAGCCACCTTCAACACTGCACAGTGCTATGACTGTACTGTTTGTTGTGTCTTGTGTCATGATTCTCCAGTAATTTTTCTCACAAAGACGCACAGCCCAAAGCTTGTTTTAACACTGTATCACATAATAAGTGATATATTAGCAGACAACCAGCCACCATGGAAGTGCGTTGTAGCCATTCTTTGTAATCTGTCATGGAGAGCCTGGGATTTCTTCTTGGCAAGTGCACTTCCAAAGGGATTATGTTATTCCCTGTGTTCTTTTTTTCTTCTTCCTCTCAGAAAATATATGTATATTGTGTAAATTGTTTTTTCTTATTTTCAACATAATTTATTATGCTTTGTTTGCATATGGATTTTTTTTTCATCACTGGGATTCAAAAAGCATAGAAATTCTGTTTCTTTTAATATGTCTTTGGAAGATCATTCTCCCTGCAGGTTTTGTTACATTATTAAGTCTCAGCATAAATGTAACAGTGGAAATGTAGTATTCTCTGGAGGGAAGATGCTGGCCCAAAATTGGCAATACATTGGTCATTAAACTGGTTATTCTTTCTGCACTCTGTCTTCTCTTGAAAGGCCATATGGAATATGATTTACATGATCTTGATCTTCTTTGTCTTCCTTTTGAAACTAGTCTCTGATTAATTTTTTTTTTTTGGTCTTTTTCCTAGTCTTTTTGATTGGCCTTATCAAGAGATGGGTTAAATTTATTGAGTCCAAAATCACTTAATAAGAGGGCTGTGCTGAGTATCCAGCAACAAGGCATTCTTAAAGGCTTTGCTTCCACTCAGCTCTCTAAAAGGAGGGGATGATTTGTAATGCTGTTTATTTATGCCTATGACTAACAATTACTGCTTTAAATTACAATAACAAAGTTCTACAGTGCTTTGAAAACATACTCTTCACTATGTCATTTTTATTATTTAGAACAATTATGTCAAAACTGATAAGTCTTTAGTTCATGTAAAAGATACATGAAGCCTATGTGAATAACATATTTCTTAGCTTCTGGGAGTCCTGTTTCTCAGTCTAAATGCTTTTTGAGTAATAAAATATGTAAGTAAGTGGTAGATTGGGATCAGGACTATGAGGTTTTAATTTGGGACTTTTACTCTCATCTTTAATCTGCATTTTCCTCTAAAACTTCTTAAACKGATATTAATACAAGGTATTAGTATGGGTTAATTTCCCTGCCATCCTCCATCATTGATATACAACCATATTGGTGATGAATCATGCCAGCTTCTTCAGCAGCATTATGGGAGAAGCAAAGCACAGTATTATAAACAACTGAAAACGGATAAAAGTTTAATTAGAATGTAGCTAATTATTTCAAATATTTAGCTAGTATGGTCAGGATACYTAGGTTAATATGTCTACTCTGGCAAAATGCATCAATCAAACTTCAAGTGAACATAATGAGTAAGAAGCTCAATTTTACATTCCAGAGAGTTTCAGGTTATCTCAATGTATTATGTTTATATAGAGCAGTGCAGATCAGGTCCTTGGTGTTACTAATTTACTGTGTCTTCCCCTCACATCTGGGCATCTCTTTCACAAACAAAATTCACACACTCTAATTTTTATCAAAATAAAAATGCGACCCATCTCTGTTGTAGAAATTCATCATTCGGAAGAGCCGTTTTGGATTGACAGAGGTTGGGGACCTTTCTCCCGAGGACATGAAGAAGATCCGCTACCTCTCCCTTATCGAGTTAACGGCCTTCTATGATGCGCTGGGGGTGGAACTGAAGAGGAACAGAACAGAAAGAATCAAAGGACGAGGTACTGCACTGGGCTAGTTCTCAGGGCTGGTAAGATGTGTGTGAGGATGTATGTTCTGCCTTTCACATTTTTTACTTCTCTATTTTTAAGAAAATGGTCTTTTTGGAGTCCCTCTCACAGTACTACTGGAAAATGATCAAAAGAAGGTTCCAGGCATAAAAGTTCCCCTCATCTTTCAAAAAGTGAGTAGAACACAACCAGCTTRCATCACAATTGCGTTTCCACCATTAGCATTGACACACAAACAGACGTCAGATAAAAGAAGATAAAGACTTTACAGTTTTCAAGCTGTTGACAAGTTTTCTGTATATATGTYATGGTTTGAACACTTCATGAGGTGGAGATAAAAACTGCTCCTTTTGTGTGTTTTATCTAGCATAGAGACCTCTTTCCATTCCTTTGGAATTTTATGATACCATCTGGAAACTGATTRTTGTTTTTCTGCTTCCATTTCTCACTGAAATATGATGCTATGCAAAATTTTGGGTTTGTGAAGAAATGGTGGCAGGAAGTTCAAGAGTTTTAATTTTCCATGACTTAAAACTAGATAYTATTTCCATAGCAGAAGTTGTATCTTCTCCTTGAGGTTTGTATAACAAGACAATATCATTTAAATAAATCACTTGACAATACGGTGACATCCAGTGGATGTTCTGGACAYATATACAAACACACATAAAACTGCACAGATTTACATGGACTTAAAATTGCAACAGATTTCTTTGTAAATGCTGACAAAACAAGCAGGATGAGGTGTCATGGAGAAGACCRAGGCCGTTGATAAATATAATTACATGTCTTTTCAATCAACTGCACCAGCTCCTCGGTCAAGTTCCTCTAGCAAATTAGCAGGATCCAACTGATAGAGAAGGAAGCTAATGCCAATAGGATAGGTAGTGAAAAGCCAAAGCAATGCAAATAAATACTAGGAAATTATTTTCCTTTTTTACTCATTTTTATTCTGTTAAAATAAAATCTATTTATTTTTCTACAGAATTAGGTGAAAAGACTATGCTTTTATTCACAGAAAATTCAAAAGTAAAGTATCCTGGGGTCATTTTCTAATCTGAGTTCTCAGGTCTCAGRAACATATGTTATCTATAGTCCTCTCTATTGTAGCCCTCAGTGTGTGACTTCAACTTTTCTCAGAGGTTAATTTTCCCTCAAAACACCATTGTGATTTAGCCTATGTACCTACCCTTTTATTAATACCTTTATGTGTTACTTGTTCTCCAGCAGTGCCAAGTCTCAAGTCAAGGATAGAAAGGCCTATTGTGTTATCAGATTTCCAAACTCTCTGACTCTGTATTTCAGGGTGAGGTACATGGAAGTCAAATTAGGCACAATTACTTACATGAACAAATAATTTTCATTAGCTAATTATATAGAAATGTATCTTTTTTGAGTTAATTTCAAGGAGGCTCTGCTGAAACAGTATTTTAAGAGTATTTTTAAAAAGTTCTGAATATTTTTCTATTTTTTTTGCCACAGTTGTTACTCAAGCTTGAGGAAACAGGTTTAGAAACTGAAGGAATTCTTCGAGTGCCTGGATCTGCCTCAAGAGTTAAGGTACATGCTTGTCCCCAGAMAAGCTGCATTCTGCTTTCCGGACCACAGATTCTGTGTAAAATAGTACAGTGCATATAAATACCCCCTGCATATAAACACTGATGTGTATAGATCAGTATTTCTATTCCTACAAGCAAAAGGTCAGATTGGTTCCTGGGAACCAATAAATCACAGAACATGTGTGCTATTGCTTTGCATTTGTTAATGTTCTATAAAAAGCACAAATTCGATGGTTAGTGCAATTTCACTCCACTAAGCACTGAGGGATTCTTTCAGTTTATCTCYGTCATCCAAAATTGTGGTGATCTTATCTCTGTTTTAATTTATTTCAGAGACTCCAGAGTTGCTAAACTGAGTAAATTCAAGATAAAGATCTCATTTCATGTCACTTTAACCTTTGTGTGATTTCTTTTCTCACTTATCCTCTGTGATCTTACAATTTCATGTCCCGGGTGAGACAGTTTTGGCAGCATAGAGCATTGCATTTTTGGAGTCTTATCTGCTGACTGTTGCCATAGGGTATTTTGTGCTCAAAAAGTCGTGCATGTGAGCAACTGCAGTGCAGTTAAGTGCTGCAGCTGTTTCTCCATACTAACTCCCTCTTAAAGTGGTTTATTCCCTTGAAATCATTAGGAAATTAGATTTTTTTCCTGGGCTTAGTGATGTCTCTTTCCCTTTTTTTTTGTTTGTCTATTTCAAGCAACTTCTCATAGTGTTCACCTCCTTTCTCATTCAGAAGAAAACAGYCTTCCTATCTGAGGCAGCTGAAGCACGGTGGCAGCCACAAGGCATGAAAAAAGAACAATGAGAGTTACTAAATATTGATGGGTCATTAAAAATGAGCGCAAGAGAAATAACAGCATTACGTGACACTCGCCAAAGATAGGCAGCTGCATCCCAACTCCCTCTGATAGTCTGGATCGATACAAGCACTCAACGCTTTCCAAAGTGCCACCTCTTGCAAAAGGGAGCCCCTAATTTAGCTTGTATATTTCAGCTTCCTCATTTTTTTCAGGCAAATATTTGAGATGTTATTTCACACAACCTCCAGTTTTTCTGACCTCTCCAGGGAGATTACACAGTGGGGCTGTCTTATTGCCTTATTAAATGACTCTCTTGCTCTTGGTGTCTTCATATTCTTTGTATCTTTACTATTCTTATTTTTATTCACAACTATATTCAGAGAATTGCTTTGAGATACTAGTTTCTGTGTATCTCTCCTGCACTGGGTGGTAAGTTRAACTTCCCACACGATGGTTTTAAATTATTTGAGTTGTGGGTTCATTTATGTCTGTCCAATGAGCCAACCAGCAAGAAAGAGAATTTTCCAAAGCAGATTCAGATTTCATCCTTCAAAGCCTTCATACATTATTATGACATTAGGATTTGAGGGCATTCCAACTTTATTTCAGTCTTGTTTGGAGGAATAAAAGGCATATGGAAATGATTAAAGGTTACTTTTCTATAAAATGAAGAAAACATAAATACAAGTGTTCCTCTGTCTCTAGTCCTTGATTTCTAACAAAAGCTGCAGTGAACTAAAAATGCATGACAGTCTATTGCGAGATCAGTCAATTTAAAAAAAATGCTATAAGAAATGAGCTTCATAAAAATGTCTTTAGATATATATATACACATACATGAACACATGCACATAGATAAAGTTTGTATATATATACTTGTCTGTGCATGTGTATATATGAAATATGTGTGTGTATTTCAAAATGTGGCTTTCCATTTTAAGGCTTCTTCATAGTTCTCAGCATAAAACATACTAAGCCTTTTCTCTTCTTGAGCTTTTAACAAAAAGTGAGGAATTCTTTTCCACATTTCTCAATTAGTTACCAGAATAGAATTTAATCCAAGTATGTGCATGGATTATGTGCAAGGTATGTGAATGCAGAGGAAGCTGAGGTAGCACAGATTACAACCAGTAAAAGGTGCTGATAAAAATGAGATTGTGACATTATACACCAAATCCTGAATGACTTTGTGTTTCCTTTTGTTCCAACTATTTCACTTCATTATGTGTGACCATATTTGATATGTAATTTCCTTCAATTCATTTGTGGAAAGTAAACAGACTTCATTTCTAAAAATCATTTCTGTCTTAATGGGCTAAGTTTTTTTGTATTATAGTAATACACTTTTGATTAAAAAAAATATGCTTTGAAACTGTAAATCAAATGTTTYTTGCCAGTAAAACTTATGGAAATCRTGTAATTTATGGGTATCTTTATATTATAACAGCCTCCTTCAATCTTATTAACCCAATGATGTTTTCATTGAGCTTGCACTTTCCAAACAGTAATCTGGGTTTGAAGCCAAATTATCCTCCCACTTGGAACCCTACTGCGTATTTCCCTGGACATATGCAGAATATGTTGACTAGTTTGCCTCCAAAATTAAACTTCTGTTATAAAGCAAGATGCTGACACTGCAGAACAAGTAGATTAAAGTGGCTTCTGCCTTAGAGCTCTATTAGGTAAAATACCAACAGGTTCTCTAGCAAGTTAACAGGTGGTGAAGAGGAAGATCCTACTCATTTGTGATTTAAGGGTCAAAGCCTCTAGAGAATGTTTTAAATACATATTTTTTAAATGTTATAAAAATGTCATTCAGCTGACCTTTATTTCAAAGGTTACATTGTGCAAAGAGGTCTTGCTTTAAACTCRTTCAAATGTGTCATTGACAAAAATCTTAACTATGACAAACAAAACTTAGCTGGTTTGCAAAACATCCATATGCATCTGATTAGCTAACTTGCTCTATGGAGTAGAACTCCATACTACTGTATTTGGATGGTTACTCCTGGTTTAAGGCAACTTTAATTCAGCTATATATAATTCAGTATATGCTATTGTTTGTAATAATATTTGAGAAATGATTTCGAACTGTAAGGTCAGGAGCAGTGGTTAAAGGTTAGATTTTTTTTTCTGTCTTTCAGAATCTCCATCAAGAACTTGAGGCAAAATTTTATGATGAYACTTTTGACTGGGACCAAGTACGAAATAATGATGCAGCAGGACTGCTAAAAATGTTTATAAGGGAACTCCCAAGCCCACTCTTCACCATCGAATATCTACCTGCTTTCATCACGCTAGTGGAAAGTAGGTAGAAAAGAGATAAACAAATTATGGTAATATGTAGAAGTGTTTTACGTACAGAGGTCTACTGCATTGTCTAAACATTTGATTATTCTGCAAGTTTTCCTTTTCAGATGAAAAAAAATCATTTATTTAGCAAATAGTATAGACTCATTTTGTGGCTGACAAGTCCATTTAAGTTGGGATATGAACCTGTGGTTAAGTGATGGTGAGCATTGCCTTTCATATATAACCTCTGACCCACGCACATTATAGATTTCACAAATAAAAATTTCTGCACCATAACTTCACATAAGTTCAAGTCACTGCATTTTAGTTATTATTTTATTAGATCTATTKTGTGTTTATTATCGTTTATGCTGAGATCAGAGTGTTTATATAAATACAGAAGTTCTTACAGAAAGCTTCAGACAACTTCATTTTGTTCTCAGCGTATACACAGCATCTCATGCTTGGTACATTTTCCTTCCAGGAAGGATGCATTAGAGCTTAATAATACCTATTAATTTTAGTTTAAATTCTCTTGAGTTTGGAAAGAGTGTGAGTATCGGGATGGAGCATTTCTTAGTACAACCATAAATCGGTATAGAAAAATTGGGACTCTTTTGTGAGTTTGCAGCCAATTTTTTTGTGTCTCCATAAAGCATTTTAAAGGGCACAAAAGTTGTCTCCCTTCCTGTAACCTTGACATATCTGAATACCCTCCTTGTGAGTCCCAGGCTGAAAACATGGAGGGAACGACTGAATAGGAGGTGGTGTATGCACACAATAAAGTGACTTTATTGCCTGAACAGACACTGTCTCCAGCACTGCTGTTTTTTCCCCTGAACCTCTATCATGAGTACATAAAGGAGGAACGTAGGGAGGAAGGGGCCAAGCTCTTCTCAGTGGTGGCCAGTGGTAGGGCAATGGGTGTAAGTTGAAAAACAGAAAGTTCCACCTCCATGTGAGGAAGGACTTCTTTACTCTGAGGGTGACAGAACACGCTAACCAGAYAGGTTGTAGAGTCTCCTTCTCTGGAGGTCTTCCARACCTGCACTGTGCCATGTGCTCTAGGTGTCCCTGCTGGAGCAGGAGAGTTTTACYAGATGATCTCTAGAGCTCCCTTCCAACCTTAACCATTCTATGATTCTGTGATTTGCCCCAAATGGGAATGAGTGGTGGAGTTAGTTTATGTCCTTCCCATCTTCTCAAACCCAACTTTTCTAGCGAGAATTGTACCTTATTAATATAGAACAACTATTGAAAAATTGTGTTCTGTAGAGGCTCTAGTTTGTCTACAGTGCTAGATTTATGATTAAAGGTACAAATACTACTTAAGTTATTAACAGTCAAGCTTGAAAGTAAGGGCACATGGATTCAGCAAATCACTCGAAAATACCAATCTGAACATTTTGTGAGAACAAGTACCCATTTCAGTTTGAAACTTGGTAACAATGGCATGATCCGTATGATTATGCCATAGATATTAAAAAGAGAATATAGTGATATCAAAGAAAAACTGACTAACACTGAAAAATTATAGAACTGTTGTTATTTAGACAGAATTTTGTACAGGATTGTCTCATTCTATGAAAAAGACCAAAGACAAGGAGGAAAAGCCCATTCATTAAATTGAATTTATGCCATTTGGGAAAAAGGTTGCCACTAATCAATATCAACATACTARTCTCAATTACTGGTGGTTGTTGTGTCTCTAGAACAACTGATTAGCAAGGCTTTTAGCACAAACCAATCATAATTAGGACTTTAAATATTAATTATTCATATTCTTAGAAATCTCCAAGATCAAGTTACAACTACAAGCTTTGCATCTGCTGATCATGCTGCTGCCCGAGGCCAATAGAGACACAGCCAAGGTATGTGCTCTGTGTGCTATTATCCACCATCTGTGGTGCTTTGGACTTTTAAATTAGAGATGGAGTTTGTTTCTAAGAGGCAGTGATCAGCTGCTTTGCCATGAAAGCATTCATCTGTTTCTCTTATAATTCCATTGAAAAAAGATGTTCCAATTCSCTGGCTGTACTTACTTTTACAAGCAATAAGGAATTACTGTTGGAAGTATCCAAATGCTGATGTTGGTGAAAACTGCTAAGTATCTTTTGCTTTGAAGTGTCCATTTTAAAGCTGTTTGTTCCTCACATTGTTTGGAAAATAAGATTTTCTGGGTTTCTGGGTTTTCGCTTTAACTTTGGAATAAAATTAAAACTCCAAGAGCTCGTCTAGGACACTCCAGGTGGTGAATGGCACTGAAGAAGTCCACTGGTTCAGAGTAGAGAAGATGATAGTTCTAAGCAAAACTCCTGAAACATATGTCTATAGCCTGGATATCAGGTCCTCAGCCTGATCTGTTTGGCTTTACAAATCCATACTCCTTGGCCTGTACTGCTCCATGTGATTGCTAGAAACTGGCTACAAAAGTTTTTTGTTTGGAAACTCATGGATTTGAATGTGGGAATGAGGGAAATCTGGGTGACTGAGTTGTCTGGAACCCCAAAATATTTCATCAGATCCTCCACCTCAAAAGTCTTGGAGAGTCAGTTTAGGTGTAGCTTTCATGTCTTCTTGATCTGTATTKCTTTGTGGGTACAAATTCAGGTGTCTTCTTGATCTGTATTTCTTTGTGAGTACAAGACTAGAATTATGACTACCTCTTTAAAGTGTATGGAGTTTTCCTAGGGCTCTGTGAAGATTAGGGGTTATTTCTTATATCCAAGTCCATATACATATGTAAAGCATTTGATAGAGGAGTAGTTTTAAGTATTCTTAKGTTTTCATACAGAAATGGAAGTGATGATAACAAAGCTGAATACTGTTCTACTTGCCATCTCTAGTGAGATTCTAGAAATATCTCYAGTAGAGTTTGTTTTGTATTTCTTTGGTCAGTAAAAATGTTTTACTTGCAAGGCAGGGTATGAAGACAGCAGTTCCAACAATATGGTGATCACAACTCTAACTCTACGGTGATTGCTGCATTGGAGAACAGCAATCCRTCCTGTTCAGTCACTCAAACAAAATCCTACGTAAATTGTCCAAAATGGAAACAAGTTTTCTCCGACTCCGCAATGCATATGCAGATGCAACGTCAAAGACCTACCACAGAGCACTTCTTGCTTTCATTATCCCAGAACCAGTTTTGGTTTGCTGGCAGAAATGCCTCCAATTAAAGCACATAGGGGAGCGGTGCGTGTCTGAAGAGAGACCGATCACCCTGATGACTCCAGCACAAAAAAAAGCCTCTACCAAATACATCAATATGGACACCCTGAATGCTGTGGAGAAATAAACTATTCAATTGCAAAGCCTTTATACCTTTCCTCTACTGAACGATTTAGAGTCTCAGTGCAAATACTGCATTTGATTTTAATGAGTTTGGGATATGCTCAAAATGTTCACAATTTATTAATGTCTGTGTCTGATAACTTGAATCATTCTGTAGTTACTAACAAGGGTGAGTGTGCTCGTGAATATCATGCACAGTGAGCTCAAGCTAGAAGGCAAAAAAATCCTAAATATCACTTGCAAAAAGCAAATATTTAGACAGACATATCTACATTTGGAAATATTGCATTTAATAAGTAAAACCTTTTGTGAGACTGAGCATAATAGGTGTTGTTTTTCTAGGCCTTCCTTCAGTTCCTGAAGAAGGTGGTTGCCAATGAAGGGAAAAATAAAATGAATCTCTGGAATGTTTCCATGATTGTTGCACCAAACCTCTTCATCTACAAAGGCAAACGTGCAAACCAACAAGAAATGCAAGCAGCTGCCACCACAGCACACATCGTGCGACTTTTAATTAGGTACCAGGACATCTTGTGGACAGTGAGTAATGGTGATTCTCTCTTTATGTGTCCAGGATAGAAAAGTATTTTGTGATATGCTGCAGATCTGTAGAAATCAGTGTAAACAGGTCTTGGCAGAAGAAACTATCTGCTGCTCTATGGAAAATGAGTAGAGCTTATATATCTGTAGAAAGAGGAAAGCCTGAAAGGAGCTTTTCCTTACCTAAGACATCCTTCTTAGGATGAATAAATCCTCTGCAAGTACCAATCCCACACCACCGATTACACAGGATAATATAGATGATGAAGTGCAGATGTCTAGATGAGATGTCTAGACTTGACTGAGATTAAATGACTGTTTAAAGTCTAGCTCAAAATAACTAATATGGGTYAGTGTCTTTCCTGCTTGCTGGACTTCTGAAGGTTTATCTGAAAATGTTGACAGTCTCAGCTTGTTCCCTTAGAAGGGAGGGAGGGTTGGTGGAGATGAGAGCCTTGCAATGAATTTCCTATAACTGCAAGCATCACTGAAAAGTTTTATGTGGTATGAAAAAAAGGACTTACAATTTTACCTAAAGAATAACTTGTAGCTAATAATCCCCTGTATCTTTTGGCATTGAATAGAGTTTCTGGTGCATATAGTTTTGCATCTCTCTAAAGCCCCCAAACCAATTTGAGGGGATGAGGAGAGGTATTCATTGTATATGCTCAGCTCCACTTTCTTTCCTTTAGGTCCCATCCTTTCTGATTTCCCAGGTGAGAAAAATGAATGAGGCAGCAATGAACAACAGCAAGAGGCAGCTGATGTTTGACAAGGGCGTAAGAAAGCTTCTGAGGAGAAAGACCATGGAGAGGGAGAGGCCTGAAAGACCAGAGGTGTGTTAAAATGTATCATTTTAAGTCRCATCCTTAACACTTCCCCTCTTCTAGAATCCCTTAAAAACCTCTGATGGGGGAAGGAAATTCCTATAGAGGTGTATAAAGCACTCTTTAAATATTTCATTAAAATTAATTTCCATTCTTTCACTCAGAAAATGCTCCCATCTGGGTTTAGTTAGACTTTCAGTCTGCCTTTCTTTCATTTTCTTTCATTTTCATTTTCTTTCTTTTTTTCTAGGTTATCCACACCCTTACCTAACTGTTCAGTTTGGTTCTTGCACTTTATTTTCCATATATCATTTGTTTCACATGGTAGCTACTGCTAGCTTTATTATTTGCCTATGCATCTCCCATATGACAGAGAACTTGCTCTCTGGTGATTCTGGGAAATAAAGTAGATAAATTTGTGTTTTTCAAATGAATATATATATATATCTCAAATACATTTTATCAGAGAAAAAAAAAGAAAAAGCAGTATGAGTAAAGGTCTTAGACTGAGAAAAGGAAAAAAGGGTAGAGGAGGCAAAGGGAAGGAAAGAGAAGGCAAAGGGAAAGGGAAAGGAAAAGGAAAAGAAAAAGAAAAAAAAAAAAAAGAAAAAAAAGAAAAAATCCCAGTACTCTCTAGTCAGACAGCAGCTTGTATACTTTTGCCATACAAAATAAGCTGATTTGGGAGGTATCTTGASAGATGTGTTTCCCAGCCCAATAGGCTGCAAAGGCAAAGTATTGGGGAGTGATTGAGAAAAGGAGTTGTCCGGCAAAATGCTTTCTAGCGGCTCAAGATATAAATAGTAATGCAGGTTTTAATCTGTTTTATCATCTGTATTTATGTTTTAAAATGATCAGAAATGGGACTGCATATTATAGAAATGTTCTGTGAATGTTAAACAAATACATTCAGCTGTGGCTGGGTAGTAGGATGGTTCACATTAGTGGAACTTGGCAAGTTTGAGGACGATACCAAGCTGGGTGGAGTGGCCGACACTCCGGAGAGCTGTGCTGACATCCAGAGGGACCTGCACAGGCTGGAGAGTTGGGCAGAGAGGAACCTCATGAGGTTCAATAAGGACAAGTGCAGGGTCCTGCACCTGAGGAGGAATAACCCCAGGCACCAGTACAGATTAGGGGTTGACCTGCTGGAGTGCAACTCTGCAGAGACAGATTCTCACTGATTGTTCCTTTATATCTAATAAAAAGGAGTCCACCCCTGGCAGGTAGCTGAAATATGAAGGGTATGTTGGAGACAAACTCAGTTTGGACAGACAGTTGAATTTTGAGAGTACTTATAAGTCTCAGATGTTCTACATTACACAGGGACAAAGTCTGGAGAGACTATTGTACTCTACTCAGCATAGTATTAACTGGATTAGAATTGGAATGCAAACCTTGCTAATTGATTTATCTGCCATTAATCATGGAAGAGTGCATCAACTTCACAGATGATTGTTTGAACCCTGCACAAGGTCAAATTTCAAATTAACGGAAACCATATGGCACTTTTTATGGTTTAATGTCCCTAAGCTTCGATCTAGTTGAAGCTAGAGAAAGCGGAAACAGAATTGGATCTTCACTCATGTGTCAAGAGAATTTCATCTTTAAAAGGAAGAAGAGATATTGCTAGATATTTAAATGTATTTTTAAAGTAAGCAGTTGGTTGATTGGCCAATGTTAACAGAAGCAGACGGTCAAAATCTCAAGACAACAAATTGACTTAGAATATTACTAACAGCAATTATAATTCAAAGGCTATTCTTTATTCTACATGCATTAATGTGATGCTTATGGAGGAGTTTTTGCTTTTGTGTAGTATCTTATTATACTGTACCTATAAATTTGCAATTATATGAATGTAAATATGTCATTTGAATAATTAAGTGAGTCTATGCATGATTTTTTCAACTAGCCTTGAAAGAAAGAATTGTAGATTTTTTTTTTTTCTGAATGGAGCTACAGCAATATGTGTCTTAGAATTATTCTACTGAATATTGACTTTAGGGAGCAGTCACTTTTCCCCCATACCTGCAGTCTGACATACCCGAGGGAGTGATAAGAGTTTATGCTCCACTACATTCAAAAGTCTCTATGGCTATTCAACTCAACAGCCAAACAAAAGCCAAAGACATCCTGGCTCGATTCCACTGTGAAAACAGGTGGGTAAAACAGAACATTTTGTTTTTCCTGAACAATATTTCCAGAACCATTAATGAACAGATTGACCCTTTTCTGAGACTGTGTTACAAGAACTCTTTTATTAACCTAAAATTGTTAAGTTATGATCGTGTTAAAAAAAACTAACCTAAAAAAAAAAAAAGGCTAATAAAATCTAGTTGATTTTTATTCTTTTTATGTTACTTAACAATTGGCTCCTATTCAATCTGCCCTATGTTATGCCTCTACTAAAAACGTACATTTTATAGACTTGCTGCATATTTAACCCAGAGGGATTGTCTTACATCTGTCCATAAAACAGTAAAGTTTTTATTTCTGTAAAGTAATAATTATTAACCGTTACAGGAAATGAGAAATTGTGTCCTGAAAGTCTCTTCTTACAAAGCCTTCTTTTGTTATCACATAATTCTTCTTTTCAAATAAATAATAAAAATATAGAAGACTTAGTTGACTGTGAAATAAAGAATTACTTCTGTAGCAGAGAGTATTAAGTAGCACTTAATTTGTTAGAAGTCCTTACATTTGATAAGTAAATTTTTCAGGAAAAGGGCAAAAAAATTCAAATTCCTGCTTAATATAGATGGGGTTGATAGGGCAGTCATTATAACAGGAAAGACAAAACTGAAGTTTTTTCTCTCTTAGCCATGGATCATCACAAAACACGGGAGGACAGATCCAAAGTTTACATGAAATTGGAGGAAATATAGGTATGTCTCATATTTCAAAATTGATTCCTGAATGTCCTTAGTCTGTTAAAATACTGCACACTGGTACTATTTTCACATAGCCAGGTCTCCCCTGCCTTCCACTACATCTGCGAGAAAGGAGGTTTCTGATCCAAAAGCTGTTAAAAACCAGTGTAATCATCCCTCCTGACTCCAGCATAATGGGAAAGGCTCCCTGCAGGCTGTGATGACCTTATGGCCAGATCCCAGCAGGACTCCTCATGGATGCTGTAGTCTTGCCAGATTCATCTGACCTCTTGCTTTTTCTCTCCCTCTCATAATGGAGATTTTTCCCCCTAGTAAAGAGATCCTTGGTCTTCCTCTTGAAAGCGTATTCCACCCTGCTCTTAAATCTTTTCTCAAATTACATTTCTTCCTCAGTGTATTTAAGTGTTAAACTCCTCCACATAAAAAATCATAATTAAGAATTCAGCCATTGTATACATACATACATACATACATACATACATACATACATACAATATACTGGTACTAATCTGAGTGCTTAGTTCAGATTGTAAATTACGAGCAGTAGGATTTTTGTCTTCTTCTGTGGTTTACACAGTGACATTTTTCTAATAATAACGGTAGTGGCTCACCACACAGGTTATTTGCCTAAAGGTCAAAACGTGATTTTAATTTGATTTTACATAGTTCTGATTTGCTGCTGTCTCTATTCATACAAAAATTCTGGGTACTGTGCTTAAATCTTTTGTCAATTATCTGATCAAATTTGTTTGTTTTCCTAGTTTCAGCTCTGAACAGCCTCTATAAAGTTATTGCAAATCTTGTTTCAACAGCAGTCAAGAAGTAAAGCTAAAAGTCTTTATTCCTAAAGACATGCTCTTAGAAACAAAATTTGATTAGTTATTTGTTTAGCCTGACTAAGTACGGTGACCAACAGATGCTAAAACACGAGAAAAGCCCATGGGCCTTGTGAAACAATCCCAACTACACCCACCATGCTGTTTTAAAAATAAGCCCATTTAATTCATATATTCATTTAAAATAGTTTTCATAGTCCTAGATATTCTGGGGTACCTTATTCCATTGACTATGCATAATTCATTTATATTGCTTTTACTTGAATATAATTGTTAGGACCTGCAGTGACCTTAGAAGTAAGCAAAGAAAAAAATTACCATTAATCCTTAATGTCACAGAAGTGTAACCTCACCAGTTAATTGCTTCATCACCCTGTCTAAATGCAATATAATCCAACAAATCAACTTAAACTCAAGATTTTATTGCCTTTTTACTCAATTAACATGAACTAAAWGCCTCTTTCTGAGTCAAAAACAAATTGTCGCAAAGGCAGCTAGGACTCCCCAGGCAGCCAGCTCCTATTTCCAATCACCACCTAAAAAAGCCATCTAACAACTAGATTTTGGAGGATTCCATTATTTATATTTAGTTTTTTTTAACCAGCAAAACAGCAGCTGCCAAAAACCCTGATATATTCCATATTTTTCTTCATTGGTTCCTGCATGGATGAGAACATCAGCTTCACAGAGCTACTTTTCAAGCATTTGAAAAGAGCACAGAAATCAAATCACAGAGATATAATACCAAGCGGGAAAGAAATAAAGCTACATCCTATAGGTCCAACAGCAATTGTTAGTGGCAATAAAGAAACCRTGATATTTGTCCAAAACTTACTGCCTTTTCCATAATTCCGTGGAAAGTCCAGCAGCCTGTCTGAAAGAGAAGGCGAATCCATGAATCTCACCAAATAACACAGAAAGGCAAATTTGCCCAAACACCCACCTGCACATAGGCACAGGCACATGCAAATCCAAACACCCACCTGCACACCAAACCATAGGCAGATCAGAGACATATTCAAGGCATTTAAGCATAGGTCCGTCCTATGTGTCCTTTGAATGTGCTGAAAGTGTGGGGGGATTCACAGCTGTTCGTTTTTGGCTCAGGTCAGCACTGCCTGGACCCGGACRCCTACATGTTAGATGTTTACCGTGCAAATCCTCAGGCAGAATGGGTGATAAAGCCCAAGGCGAGCTGAAGTGTGAGGTGGCACCATGCTGGACCATGGCCAAATGGACAACCGCGATGCAGCCTGACCGTTTTGTGAAGGTCATACCACAGATTCAAGCAAATTGGTAGCTCTGGGGTTGAGCTCCTTCCTACMGTACTGTTCAGCTGATGTTCGCCATGTACTGATTTTGGTATGAGAACTATCGCTCCAGTTTCTGGAAAACRTCACATCGGTTCTGCTTTGGATTATACTCGTGCCAGCTGGCGCAGGAGTTAAGAGGAAGGACCGAGGTACCGAAGCACAGAGAACAACCTGTCACATACAGAGTTGTTCCTTTCCTGAGCTGGTGTTAGAATGTGTATTTTTGAAAAGGGAAAACTCCAGTGGCATCCTAGGATGCATGCAACACTACCAACCAYGGAAGCGTCGCAGAGACATTCAAGACAAGAAGGTATCTCTAAAACATGGAAGCAGGAGCTCCTTCTACAGCAGTGCCAAAATGTAGCTGAGAAAGAAAACCAAACCTTTCTGCTAAAAGACGTACTGTGTGCATTACTGCAATATTTATGTCCTCAGTCACTCCACATTGGTACCTGACACTGGTGGGAGGCAGGTGGRGGAAGAATAGCCATACCGTTCTATGTATGTAGCACCGTGCAGTCTGTCCGTCTTCTGAAACCATCTGTCTGGATCACGTTACTGTGTGTATTTGTAGGACCACTAACTGTTTTTTTCTCCCTCCCTCCTCTACCACACACACACTGATAGCTCCAGGAGACAAATGCTACAGGAGAGGCATATTCCCTYGCTCCATCTTTTACTTAGTATCTAAGTAGAAGACCTTTTTCATCTTTCACATAGACCTAAATCTGTGGCATTCAATAATAAGATATATGTGCAAATGGTGCCACTTAAAAACATCACCCTTTTTTGTTAACCTTTATCATTTCTTTATTCATAACCTAATTCTTTTTCTTTTGTTTATTTTAGTTTTAATATGTAAGCAGCTTTTATACTATTCAGCAGCACTGAGAAGAAGGATCCTTGTTTGCATCTTGTATAATACAGCATGGATTAGAATAAGAGCTTCCAGTGAGCAGAGGGATTTAATACTATTTAACATTTACAAATTTGGGCCTAAAGATGTAGCTAAGCTAGGCTCAGCTCTGCTAGTAATTTTACAAATAAGTAACAAATCGTAGCACCTTTCAAAGGTCATTTACTGTCTCTGAAGAGAACAAAAGCCTAGAGAAGCAGTGCACTGTACTAGGAACAGCACAAATATAATCGTGTATGTCCAGTTTGTAGTCTGCCACAAGGGTGAGCAGCATTCTCCAAGTATTTGGGTGTGTTTTGGCTACACTTTATATAACTAAGCATAACTTTATATAACTTGACTCAGTGTGGAAATCATAAGTCTCTGGAAGACAATAATTATTTTTTCAGCTTTGCCTTCTGTAAAAAAAAAAAAAAAAAAAAAGAGAAAAAAGAAAGAAAAAGGAACTAATGTCAAATATAATGTGACATCCCTGGCATTGGAAGACTGTCCTGCATGGTGAATTCTGGTGAATTCACCTACGGTCTGATAAGTCTGAAAACGTGGACGCACACATAGGGCAGGGGCTTCAGCTACACCCATGTGGTAGGAATGGAAGAGGTCTATGAACCAAGTCCCTGAAGTGACCATGCAGTACATTGTCCTGCAGAGAAAGCCTCTAACTTGTGATGATCTGCTGCCACAGCAATTTTCACAATTTAGAAAACCTACCCTACTTCTGATTCAAAGTTAATTGYGGTTCCCAGTATTTAACTTTCCTTGTTAGCCTTCAGTGAGAGAAATGAACCTCTAATCAGAAATCCTCCCAGCAACAAAAATACCTACAGAGAACAGATTTTGTCTTTCTTTCTTGAAACAAACTATGATAAAATTTAGCAACAGTATTCTCTTTTCTTTGAAAGTCAATGTGATTTTTAGTTTTCAAGCATTTTTTTTCTTAACACTAATGGCTGCATAGGTACAGCCAGGCTAAGACCAGGACAGCTGTCCTATAAAATACACCGCTTGTTTTGACAACTATTTATCTTAAGGACATGAGAGATTGTAAATCTGTCATTTGTTCACAGGACTAAGCATTGACTTTCTGTCATATGCCTTGTTCTGGAGTCCCTTTAGTTCCTTCTATGGCCATGGACAGCTCTTTCTTCTGTGGTTTCTTTGCTATTCTTTCCTTATAAAGGTAACATGAGAATTAGTTGAATTCAAACATCTGTCTAGGAGGGACAAGTTCAACAAAGGGTTTTTATGTGGAAAGTGCTTTGAATATGAARAGCACAATATAAATGCTAAGCATAGATGTATTTATGACCAACGGAAGAGCTTTTATGACTGTAGAAAAAGCCTGAAGGTTGACTGAAGGATCTGAATTGTGGTAGCAAACAAGAAAACTTTTTCTACAGTACTTTCAGACAGACACGTTGACCTTCCTTGTCGTGCCCGTTCGCRACAGTCTGTGTTCTCAATAGCCATGCAAGGCAGAGAGCACCTATAGGAGCACTGAGCACCTCTAGGTTCAAACTGAAAATTGCTTGGTATGTTCTGCATTATGAAATGAAAATTTCACCAAATCATTTCCTAAGTAAATCTCACCACACTTTGCAAAGAATACAAGGGCTTTTTGGAACACCTTCATCTCTTTCCACTTTGCAATTGAGGAAAAGCTAAATCTGATACAATGATATCCATCATTTGTTTTATACTAAAATTGCCTATAACTAGAAAAGATATGCATATTAGCAGATGAACTAGATTCTACATGCAGTGCCCAGACTCCTACAATACAGCCAAACATCTCCCATCTCTGAAACAAAGTGGCAAAATTCTTTTCAATGCAAATGAGAGCAGACCCTAATGACCCTTGTGTATTGTGGTAAATACTCTTACACATTAAATTGTTTTGTGTTCTTGTAGTACACTAACTTGAATTAATGTGTTAGACAAACTGAAAAATCACTCTGACATTTTAAAATTTGATGTCTCAGCTTGAAACCTTAYATAAAAAAGCCTGTGGAAATACCTGGAATTTGCTGTTCCTAACAGCAGTTTCAGTCCAAACCAAAGTTACAACAGTATTGTTGTCAAAGCAACACATATGGAAAGCTATTAATAAAAAATGGTAGCATGCAGGAAGAAACCTTTTCAGCAAACTCCAAAGATGCCTTAATGCATTTACATGCTCCATGGTTCTRCAAAGATAGTATTTTGCATATGAACCACATCTATAGAGAGTATTGCCAAAAGGTAGGTATTRGAAACAGACTGGAATGCTCTAATCTGTTTATACAGGTAATGTCTTTATAACGTACGGTGTGTGCAAATGTCTCTGTGTCTATATATACTGTAAACTACCTCACTCTGCATTTTCCGGGAAAAAAAAATATATGTTTGTTTAGAGGTTTCTTATTCCAAAGCTTTTTACTAYTAATTTCTCTCATGTCTACCATTTTTTCCACACTAATAAACAGTTTCTCCTCACAGGGGGCAGGAGTTGGAAATTAGCTAAAAATACATATATTAAAGTATGTATTTCAAGATACAGATGAAATTTTGTCCAAACCACATTGCCTCAGTTMCTGCTTGTAATATGAACTTTGCGAGATAAGATCTTGGGGTTAAGAGCTAAAAAACTCAGACTTACTATGTTTCAGTTTTTATTTTTCAATGGCTTACCATTACTGTGTGTCTTCTCTGGAAAATAATACAATGCCACTAATCAAAGCAAAATGTTTGTRTGTATGTTTCCCTTACCCTCATCACTATAATGTTAAATGTTTTGTTGAAATAAGCCGAACTACTAGTGTATTTGTACAGTAGAATGTGTTCATTGTATTGTGTATCTACGTCAGAAATAAAAACAATGCAAACAAAATAACATCTTTGACTCCTAAACACATGGTTTTCTGACAGAAGCAGATCAAAGAAATTGGGAAAAGGAGTGAATTTTAAAAGCAGTTCCTTTGTTAGAGCAACTGAGAAGCCGCAAATAAAAAACTGTACCCTGCCATCCTTGTTCAAGGATGGTAGTTCTTCACGAGCAACTGAACAACCCTGATGCAAGGTGCAAAAGAACATTGCTTGGAATCCTGCCTCACTGAAATCAATGACAAATGTCTTCTGGGTTTCCTTGCAGCCAGTAGTTTCTTAACTACAATGGAATAGGTAGAGCAAGTGACCTTAAAAGGAATTATAAAATCATAGTAAAAGCCAGACAAAACTGTAAGAAGAAAAAAAACCCAATATTACTAGCTTAAAGAGGAAAAAGGGGAGAGGTAAGTAAAAAACTAAACACATTCTAGATCAATATTCAAGTCCCAGCTACATCAGACAGCTGCTCAGTGATGCAGTTGATAAATGAATGTGTGTCCTTGCTTGAGTCACAASTGTGAGTTTCCCCAAATTGGCTCAAGTGCAACTACTGGAAACCTCATTTCTGCAAGGGGACAGCACAGTCACAGAAAATAAAGACAGAACTGCTGCACCTGTGAATTAGGACTTGAAGGGCACCAATGATACTTCCCTGTATTTATAAGCAAATAAATAGAGAACCCATTTTCTTGGGTTCTCAAGAAAATTAGATGTACTAGTTCTTACAGTGATAACTCATAGTCAAATTGTTTCTTCACCAAAACAGCATTTCACATGTCTCTGCTGTGGAACTGCAGCTTGTCCTGTGGCTCTTAGAAAGTATTAGAGGCGCGTGGGCCTGTAATGGGGGCCAGGAGCACTGGGTATTAAGCAGAAGGAAAACCAATCAGAGTTATCATATGAAGTAAAAATGAGAAAATTCTGCTCATTGAACTCTTGAATCTGATACCTTCAGAATTACGTTAGTCTCCTACTCCCTCTACTGGACTCTACCCACTCCATTTTCTACTTCATACATTCTGGCTATTTTCTTCTAATTTAAATGGACAGATACTATACACAAAACTATGCAGTTTATTGCAGTTTTATTATGTGGTCCAAAATTATTACCTTCTTATAAAAAGACCAACATACAATAAAATGAAATACTGTCAGCTAATCAAGAAAACAGATACTGTAAACACTCATTAATAAAAATTCCCAAGAGAAAAATACCCAATTAATGCCATTAACATTGTATTAGAGGTATTTGTTGTTTAAAATTTTTAGTTAAAATGCAAACACAGAGCTTTTTACTAAAAAAAAAAAAAGACCTGAGTTGGAAAACCAGAAAATCAACGAGATGCAAGGTCTCACCAAAAACTTCATTAACAAATGAAAATGAAAAAAATAACAGACCAACAACAAAARAACTTCTCTCGGTCCAGGTTTTGCTACAGTTCAGTGCTCAGACCCAGGGCAAGAATGAGGAAAGACTCCACGCAGGTCAAAAGCTCTGCTGAAGTCAAACAACTCTGCCTGATGGCCCTTGGTCAACGTGAGGTTCCTCAGGCAGCCATGGAATGAGCTCTTGCTTGTCAGGCAGTTTTGCTTCACATCAGCTGAAAAACAAATACGAAATATGTAACATTTCTTCCCAGTGAACTGAAACAACACAGACACAGTTTATTCTTTAACATTTTCCCCTCCCTCCCAAAAGAGGTATAAAAATAATGTCTGAGGAGCACTATCTTCGATTTGTGACCTAGCCACACTCCCACCAAGAGCACTCATTGCTGCCTTCAGGCATGAGTCATGCACTAGGCTAGATTAAGGGTTAATTTACTCAGAAGTTCAGAAATAATTTGCCCCAGGGGATAATATGAGAAAAGGGAAGTGGGGGAAGCCACTCTGCACAAGTATCTCCCCTGTAAAAACTGGGACTGGCAGAATATGAGGCAACAGCTGAGCCTTGCAAAGTCATGGACTCCCTTGACAAACCAAAATACGGAGCTGGGACTGACTCCAACCCTTGTTGCATACMCATACTGTACACCTTCTTCAGCATTCCACTGAAGAATTTCACTCTTCTCTGTGTTCTCTAATTTTTGCCACACAAAGCACTGAAAGATCAACAATTAGTATTTTGTTACCCTACTTTAAAAAAAAMCTACATGATGCTGACAGAGCCTCATGAGAATTCTASAAAAAAAAAATCAWGATCTGTTTAATTAGAATCWTAGAATCATAGAAYGCYKAAGGTTGGAAGGGACCTCAGAGATCATCTAGTCCAACCCCCCTGCTCACGCAGGGTCACCTACAGCACGGGGCACAGGGCTGYGTCCAAGCAGGT